GTGCTGGAATATTTTACTCTCCCAATACTTCTCTTTTAATAATACACTCTTCCTACTTGTGGATTGCATCATAAATGAAACTGAATGTTTTGCTGTGGGAAAGAAAGTGGTACTGATTTAATAGGCTTTCGGTCTAGCAGTGCAATATACAGTGGTACCTCGGTTCACGAACTTCATTCGTTCCACGATTCTGGTCGGGAAACGTATTGGTCGTGAACCTAATCAAACTGTGATCAGACCGCGATCTCGACTAGAAGAATACAAAACACAAAAATTCCTCGACTAGAGGAAGCCACGACCAGTGTCAGAGCAGGGAAGATGGCTGCAGTTGTGTTCGTCACCCGAAGCGGAGTCCATGAACGGAAGCAAAATTTTGCTGTACTTCCTGTTTGCGAACCAAATTGTTTGTGAACAGAAGCGTTCGTGAACCGAGGTACCACTGTATTGTTGTAGACCTAATACTCACTTAATTTTCACGTAACTGGTACCTTCCGTTATGCATTTCGGCTGGTTAGGACAGCTGTTCTTTTCTCTGTAACATGGAGTCACATTGCAAGGCAATATCAAACACTCTTGTGGGCTAATGTGCTGCTGTAATAAGAGACTTGCATTTCTATGCATTAAGACTTTCAAGGATATCAGTAATGCTTGCCTATTATTAGTCTGTATCGTGACAGAGCTTTTATGTGTCTGTGTCTGGACTTTAATGCCAGCAGCAAGCTAATGAAGATATCTCCAGCTAACAAATGTAATTGCTGCAGAGAAAATTGTGCTGCAAATAGGCTGGGTATGTATGCTTATTATAATTATATTTATCCAGCACCCACATACTGTATATATACAGTATATATACACACACATACCTTCCCCTTGTATAGATATTGGCTAAACATTTATTTTAAAACCACAGAAATCACACAGGGAGGGATTTATCAAAAGTGGAGCAGATTTCCACTGCAGCCAATCCGCAGCATCTCTCTCTCATTTTCAAATCTTACCTGAGCAAACTGTAGACAGATGCTGATTGGTAGCCATGGGCAACTGCTCCAGATTCTGTTTGCTCCACTTTTGATAAATCCCCCCCACCGTGTCAAAATATTCCAAGACAAGTTAGGGCCAATAACAGTTAATGGTTCCGTGTAACAGAAGTGTTGCTTTGAAGTCAATGGCTGAATATATGGAAATCTGGTCCAGGGCTTAAGCAAACTTAGAAACCATAGACATGACAGCTTTAAATGCTTGTATGATGCTCACCTTATACTGTTTTCCTGTCTAACATGCTTTAAAGCAGTGGTTCTCAACCTGTGTAACCTCAGGACCCACATTTGTCATTAGTCATTAAGTCGTGACCCAAGTCGCACTGCAATGGAATGCATGGCATTAGGGTATCACACGTTCTGGAGCGGATGTACGAACTGTGGGTGGGAGGTGCGTTTGGGGTTCCATTCAAATGAATGGCAACGCAACACACCTCCCACACCAGAATGCACAGTTGGTGCGATTGCGCAGTACAGTGCATTAATCACATGGCACTGTGCTATTAACGCACTGTATTGGTGTGAACGGGCCCTCAAAAACACTGACATACATACACAACCAGAGACACAATCTCACACACAGACATTCTAACACACACACACACACACTCCAGAAATTTTTTTTTTACCCACACCCTAGAAAAGTACAAGAGAGCTAGTGGCAAGAAAGTGAATCCACATTGGGGAACAAGAGTTGCTATAACTTGCTAAAGCCTTTTCAGATTAATAATAAGGCACATATTTAATTTAACATTACATTTGAGCATCTAAAATGAAATATAACATTTATAATTTTGGTAGACCTAAGCTTCCACTGGAAATGGTACCTGGTGGAGAATATGTATAACCATCTTAGACACTAGTAAGATGTTGGAGGCCTCAAGTGTGGCTTATTTCACCTCTGATAGCCGTGCTTCATATTTTTTCACATTTTCTTTCTACTTTTTTCTCATTCAGACAACTGCAATAACGCCGTTAATAGAACTACAGAACGAATGTTAGGAATGCTTACACTCTTATTTATTTTGATGCTTTTCTTTATCTGCGAGTAAGAAACTTTTTGATAAGTCACAGAAAAGTTTATATATTATATTTTATGCCTTGTATGTCTCAGGTTTGGCAATCAATATTGTTTTATAAACAATCATTTGAATGTTGTTACAGAAATCAATAATGTTTGCAGGCTAACTGCATAAGAAAGGCTCAAACAAAGAACATGCTGAGGAGGACATTTAAGCATAGCATATCAAAATGTATGTGAAACTTCATAAGCCTTGGCAGTAATTAAGTAGCCTGAGGCTTACTGAAACTTTACAGGCATGTGCTATTCAATGCCATTTCTAAGTGGCTCTTTTTTCTTTAAAGAGACTCTGTTGGTCTCTAAAAAACAATTGTATTCGTACTACTCTGCAAGAGAAGAGCCATTATACTCACCTCTCTGGTGGCCCATGCCTCCAGTGCCTGCAGTGTCAGTGTCATTGGCATTCAACACTTCTGGGAGATACTGGCTATTGGTGGGGTGAGTATAATGCAGAGCATGATTAAGAGCAACTGATACCCTAAGCACAGTTCAAAAAAGTGCCTCCCTACACCCCTTCATTGCTTAACTGACAAGACATTAAAGAAGAACTCCAGGAATTTAAAAAACGACCCTTGCAGTGGGGCTACCCCTGCACTGTAAGGGTTAGGTGCTCATTTTTTCTAGGGGCTCAAATAAAGCAAAAATACTCACCTAAACCTTGGTCCCCCAATGGTCAGCACTCACCTCTCTCCCCCTCTGCTCTAGCTCTGTATTGTCTCTCGGCATCCTCATGTCTAATGCAAGTCAATGGACCATCTGTAGACATGATGATGTCAGCAGTCTGTAGACCACTGGAGCCCAGGGCCGAAGAGGATGTGGGAACTGGTTTAGCAGCCTGGTGGAACTGAGGATCAGGTGAGTATATCTGCTTTATTTGAGCCCCCTAGACAAAATGAGCAAATGAGGGTAGCCCCACTGTAAGGATATGTTTTCTAAATTTCTGAAGTTCTTCTTCTAGTCTATGGGGCTGTAATGTGCCTGCATGGCTAGGAGAGAGAGAGGACTTGTGGCATGGGATGTAAATAAACAATGGAGGCTGTGGCAGTTGAAGCTCGGTAAGTATACATCTGTGGAAGGGGAGGGTGGGATCTGTTTTCTCCGGACAAAGGGGAAAGAAAGATAATTGCACCTATTCTTTAATTGTATACTAGCTAGGGAAAAAACTCTGTGATGCCCCCTTCCCTATCTGCCCTAACCACATGCCTATTTGGCATGAAGGTTAATCCAGCCCTGGTCTAATGGCTCATCTCTTTCAGGTACAATGTTTTTAAGGAATAACAGTCTCTTGTAATCATAAATATGTTGTTTTAAATGTGTGCCAAGTCGGTATGTGCACATGTATTTATATCTGTTTATATGTGTATATGTCTTTCATTTGCAGAAACAATTTAAGACATGTTTTCTTTCTAGCCTCTACAGTGGACAGTCCCAGGGCCCTCACTACAGAAGACTTGAACAAAGATGTAACTGCTTACACTGTTGCTTCTAACATGTCAACTGCATCACCAAAAGAAGAAAGTAAGTGAAAATGGTAAACTAGATATGAGTTAAAATCCAATCTGCAACTCCCTGAAACTGAAATGTGTTTAAGATCTGTCCATGATGAGTCCAGCTTTTATCTGAATAAATTGTATTGATAAAATGGTGAGTAAGTCAGGACAGTTCCTCAAACTTAAGACAGGCGGGAAGTATATATCAATAATCAAAAGAATAATCTATGATTGTGAGTAGGGTTGCACAGATACCAAGTACAGTACTCGGTACAAGTACAAGTGTAAGTACCGATACTTTTGAGCTCCAAGACTACACTAGAGAAAAATTCAAAAATTAGGAGGCAGCTATCATTTGTAAGGAGCACACGGAGCTCCTGGGATTTGTACATCTCTGTTTTAATGTACTATTTTGTTTTTATAAATATAAATAAAGGGATGCACAGATACCAGTTTTGCGAGTACGAGTACTGGTACTCCAGGCTAAGTACACAGTTGAAATAAAGATATGCCTTTACCAGCCAAAGGATTTATAATTTTGTGCAGCCAGTTTTGTAATCCACTCACCCTTAACTTCCACTGAAGCTGCGGCATAGCTTAATTAATTGGTCCAAACACAGCCTTGGGAAGCCTACTGGACAATCATGGAGCTTCAGCATGTAGCAATATGGGAGAATGTGTAGCAAAGTGAGTGATATGAAAGAAAAGTGTCAGTGTAAAGATACACAAGAGAAATGCATTATTTGGGGGAAATTGCACGTGTCAGTACATTATTATTGTTATGTTAATTTTTTATTTTTTAGGACCACTCAAATGTAGATTAATATTGTGTAAGAGTAGCTCTTCAAATAAAAAAGGCAAATGGACACCAAAATGACTGTGAGATGTGAAGGTTTACCCTGTTTTTAATACTATAGTGATAACAGGAATACCATTTACACATCGCCTTGCTTTGTCACTAAAAGACATATTAAGGATGCAATATGGTAGATATCTGCCCACTATAGATACAGTATTTGTGGATTGTTAACATGCGGGTCAGATCTGAATTTTTGAGCTTCAGTTGATGAAAACCCATCTACAGATGGAACTTCAATATTTTATGTTATATAGAATGAGCAAGTGTTGGGGCCTTTGCCAGGTTTCTCTTTTGATGCCTGTGCAGCTTTTGGAGAGGTTTCTGCCTCACTTCCTCTCCTGGTGAGACCATGGTATAGAAAGTGAGATGGATTCCTCCATCAGGGACAAAAACAACAATTAAAACCTGTCAATCTCATGGGACCCCCCTTGAAATTAATTTTGTGGAATGTAAAAGGTCGGAGATCGCCACACAAAAGGTCCAAAATCCTACATAGTATGTTGTTGATTTTGCATGTCATTTATTACATTGTAACCAATGTACTGTTTCTGTTAATGCATATCTTTTATTCTTTACCAATAAACGTTTATGCTAAAAAAAAAAAAAACCTGACAAAAGGTTTTAACCTTTCCTGACACTTTCCAAAACTCCAAGAATCCCATTTGGGTTCATGAGCCAAAGTTTAGAACAAATCAATTGTATTTATAATCAGTTCTCCGGGAGCTACTAAAGCTGAACTTTAAACTAATCTAATGCATGCGTACATTTATTTTTCTTTAGCTTGGTAAACGTGTCAAAATGAAACTGTATATTGTAACACATTATAGATTCCTGAATAAATAATATGTAACTTTTTTTTTCTACAAAAGCGCCAAGTGTTGGTGCAGCAGCAACAACTCTAGGTACCCAGGGTAAGCAAATACTTACATTTTCTTGGCCTTTAAATTTTAAGGGGAAATGTTTCTTAAATGTATTTTGGGTTGAGTCCTTGGCCAAAGTTTAATGCTTTACTTCTATAGCTATGCCTCAAATTATCATGGCTGTGACAAGTTGAGCTTCATTTTGCAGACAAGTTTTTAATGACACTTGCTGAAGTGAATTTTCCATATACTCTATGTATAATCCAGTAATAAATAAAATAAATAGAAATATTAAAAATATTTAGTGACACTAAACTCAGGAGTTAAACCTTAAAAATGCATTCCGGTACCTCAACAATACTGTACCTTATTTAAACTGTAGATCCTCAAATCATCTCTAAACCGGCTGACACTGTCCTTCCTTCTGGAGGGTGGCTACTTTTGTTCCCCATGGTCACTGTGTGTGTTGTAAAATAGCTACCACTCCAAACTAGCTTCTGTGATGGATTGTAATCTCACATTTAGTTAGCTAACTTGTTAGCTAACTTGTGCTGATGATTTGAGGACCTATAGCTGAGTGATACACAAGCTACATTTTTGTTAATAGTTAGGGTACTTGAATGCATTTTTAAGATTTAACTCCTGAGTTTAATGTCAACTTAAATAAAAAATACTTTAATAATAATACCTTTCACTCTAGTAGCTGAAAAACCAAGCTTGGCCAATGAGGTTAGTTAGAGTGGTGAAGAAGCTATTTATTAAGGCACTGTTGCCTCTTTAACCTCTTGCCGTCCGCCCGTAGTAAAAAAAAAGGACGGACGGCACTGCTGCATTGGCGGGTTGCCGTCGCCAGGCGGCATTTTTTTTCTGCTCGTGCGCGCCCCCTAGCGGGCACGCACGGGCAGAAAAGACCCGACCATTGCACACACCCGTTACCGGGTGTTTCACATATAGGCGATCAGCGGCTCCATAGCCAGCTGATCGTCTATATGTGCTCGTTCGCGTACGCCCCCGCACGTCCGCCGCCGCCGGTTTTTTTTTCCCCTCCCTGACCCCTCACCTTTAATCGCGGGATCCTCTGCATTATATGTGGGCAGTCACTAAAGATGCTGATGTTACTTTCATATGGATCTTGCCCTTGCTGTACAATATTACATCATGTACAGCAGGATCTTACAAAGCTACATTCTTTTTAAATGTCAACTATTTTAAAGAAACGTTCATTTATAAACTATGAATAAAACATAATAGTTTAATTCCTCTATGACGTTCAGCAGCAGCCTTTTGATGAAGCAAAGCACGCTGGATTATTTCTGCTACCAAAAAACAGTAAAAGACACATTCTTCATTCCTTAGGTTACTGCTATAGGGTCCTGTATTCTAGCATAGATGAACAGATAATGGTAGAAAGAAACGCTTGTGGCATTCTTAGCTTTATTATTACATAGTTAGTCAGGTTAAAAAAAGACACAAGTCCATATAGAGATATGAGAAAAAATAGAAGAAAAGCCTAAAACAGAACGCTATGCCCACAGTTATTCACTATTGATCCAGAGGAAGGCAAAAAAACCCTATAAAGCATAGTTCAATGGGGAAAAACAAATTCCTTCCTGATCCCATAAGGCAATCGGATATTCCCTGGATCAACAATCTCTGATGCTTAATATACCTATAAGAACTCAATATCCAGTAATATTCTGTGCATTTAGGAACACATCCAGATTTGTTTTAAAACAATTAACTGAGCTAGCTAGAACTAGCTCCTGGGGGAGTCTATTCCACATTTTCACAGCTCTAACTGTGAAGAATTCTTTCCGTATGCAAAGGTTAAACCTCTTTTCCTCCAGACGCAATGTAGTGACCTTAAAATGAATTATTTGGCACCAAGCTCACTATATGGACCATTTATGTATTTATACATGGTGATCATGTCTCCCCCGAATCGCCTCTTCTCCAGAGAGAACAAATTCAGGTCAGTTAATCTTTCCTCATAGCTGAGCTCCTCTGTGCCTCTTATGAGTTTAGTTGCCTTTCTCTGCACTTTCTCCAGTTCCACAACATCCTTTTTGTGAACTGGTGCCCAAAACTGAACTGCATTTTCCAGGCGAGGTCTTAATAATGCTTTGTACAGGGGCCTAAGCTCAAAAATACACACAGTAACTGCTTTATTGTGGTGGCATTTCTCTTTGTAGAGTTTTAGAGTTTTTAAGCAAGGACAGTTGTGTAACACTAGCTATGTTTTTTTATGCTGTAAAAAGTCACCATCTAGACACACAACTCCAAAAGTTTGAGAGAGATCATAAGTTCTTATGGCCAGATGTATAGTAGGTGGTTAACAGAGACAGTTTTTTTGGCACAAACTATTGTACTTTTATATTTATTTCCTATTGCATCTGTGATTTTGGTTTATTTAACTGACTTTAAACATACACAGATGCTAGATTTATCATGCCACAAAAAGGGTAAATGGGTGGAGTGGACACATTTAAATTATTCTTTATAATACAATATAGTTATCTGCATTCATTTATTCTACTTATTTACTGAATTGCTTATTAACTTTGCTTTATTACAAGTTTCCAGTAAAGAAGCAACTACAGAGCCAAGTCGTGAAACACAAACACAAACCACAAAACCTGCAATAACTAACAAAGGTAAGAATCATCTGAATCCAGGGTCATGCATTATATGAGAATCGGATTTTGGGTAGACCTCATGGACAGGGTTCAGTCCTTCATTTGGGTCTGTTGCATCACCCTCTCAAACTGACCATGTGACAGGCCATGTGATAAGTAGTCAGGAAATCAGATGAATAATTTATGCCCCTTGAATGCCTGAAAGTGCTCCTTGGATTTTGGTCCCCTTATGTGGCTAGAATGTGATAAAGAAATACCTCCAGATATAACCAAGTATTTTAAAGCAAACAAATTGATTAAAATCTGTACAGTATATGTGGGCAGTCACTAAAGATGCTGATGTTACTTTCATATGGATCTTGCCCTTGCTGTACAATATTACATCATGTATAGCAGGATCTTAGAAAGCTGCATTCTTTTTAAATGTCAACTATTTTAAAGAAACATTCATTTATGAACTATGAATAAAACATAATAGTTTAATTCCTCTATGACGTTCAGCAGCAGCCTTTTGATGAAGCAAAGCACGCTGGATTATTTCTGCTACCAAAAAACAGTAAAAGACACATTCTTCATTCCTTAGGTTACTGCTATAGGGTCCTGTATTCTAGCATAGATGAACAGATAATGGTAGAAAGAAACGCTTGTGGCATTCTTAGCTTTATTATTACATAGTTAGTCAGGTTAAGCCAGTTTTCTATCCAATTACAGATTGAATACTCTATACCTACTGACCTTAACTTATACATTAGCCGCATGTGGGGAACTGTGTCAAACGCTTTTGCAAAGTCCAAGTACACTATATCCACAGTCATTCCTCTCTCCAATTTATTACTCACTTCCTCATAAAAAGTAGGTGTGTTTGACAACGTCTGTCTTTTGTGACTCCGTGCTGACACAACCTACAGTTCTCCATATCATCAGCAGCACAAGAAAAAGCAGCACAAGGCGCAAATCAGTTTGTATGTTAACCAGGACTGTGCTGTTAGGAGAAGAAAGCAGAGTGACAGATGAGCTTCATCACAATCCTGCTTCTCCTTTGCTGTCCAATTAAGGGTTAGAGGAGGGTCCATGACAACCTGCACTCATAGGGTCAAGTGGATTGAATGATGCTGGCCGTCATTCAACCCGGGAAACTGAGGTTTTGGTAGGAAAGATGTATTGCCATAACTTCTCTGGGACCAAGTATAGAGAAAGCATTTATATTTTATTTCATCCTTAAATGGCTATTACATTTTTGTAATGGTGTTCTGATATAAACTATATACTGTATAGGCAGGTATGCACTGAAAGGTTAGGTTTCTTTTCTTTACTTTTTTTAGTTCAAGTTTTCAAAACAGAGGATGGTAACATTTCAAGCAATGATACAAAAAAACTGTCTGGCTCAAGCAACAGAGGTAAGCAAATATGCACCCATGAATTAGAGAAAAATCCACCAATCCATGTGGTTTATATACCACAAACCGGGCAATCAGCAAGCGAAACTCTTTGTCTGTCCTTCTAATTTCCACTTTTACTCATTCCCTAAAATTCATAAAGAGTGTCCACAACACTCTTTAGAATTATGGGGGGCATGTGCATGACAAATGTCAGTGCTTGCCCCAGATTAATGAACCTAAGCAATTATGGACACCGGCACTCCAATTGTAGAATAACGTCTATTTATTGACATCCATGCAACAATACACTTATTGCAACGTTTCGGGGTCACACAGGATCCCCTTCATCAGGCAGAACAAGTGAAAGATTCATGAACCTGCTGTCTCACTGTGGCACAGCAGCCTAGGTGTTTTACTAGTGGGTGAGAGGAGCTTGATGGGGAAGTTGAGGGACTAGTTCCCCATCAAGTATGCTCCCCTAGTGATTAACAGCAGGCTGCTAATAGCTATAGCAGAGTCGCCCTGATGGGGCACTGGTCCTTCAGCATCCCCATCACGCTCTGCCCACTGTCAGCATCACTGGTTGTTAGCGATGCTGTTAGCTGCACAGCCAACAGAATCCTTAGCAAACAGTGATGATGACCCCTCCCCCCAATGTCAGCGCCAATGTTGTTAAGGATGCTGTCAGCTACACAGCCAACAGCATCCCTAACAACCAGCGATGATGACAGTAACATCCGGTGACTGCTGGGGAGGCAGGTAGCACAGCAAACCTGCTACACAGCGTACAGAGACAAGCACTTTGCTTATCTATGTACACGTTAGAGTTAGTCTTAATTTCAGTTTCATTAGCCTCAGTTCAGTTTCAGTTTCACTGGTCTCAGTTTCATTAGCTACGAACCGTAAGTAATTATATTTGAACTTAGTGCAGCCATAGTGCTACTTTGTAAAGGGGCACTATTAAGAAATAACTGAATCACATGCATCAATAAAGCTACGAAAACTAGTGACAGGGCATTTTTTTATTTGGTACAAGACCTTTTAGAGGTTAATACTTCCAGAAAAGCAGCACAAAGCCTTTACTGATTTCCCCCCCATTAAGTCTCATACTTGGTCTGTGCAAAAGAATGGGACTCTGGGAACTTCTCTTATTAAATTGCAAATATATTATTTTATTTATTTTTCCATGTAGTAAATATACTTTCTTACTTACTTAATTAGAATAGTATAATATAAAAACTGCTTCTTTTTGAAAAGGGTTGAGGGCATGGACAGTTAACTTTTTGGTGCCTGTCTGTTAAGATGGAACACTTACTGTATAATGTAATGCTGTTCTTTGATGTACAGAAGCAGAAAAAAAAGTAGATATTTAAACCTAATGTGCCCAGTGTCCTTTTTTTTACAGATATGTTTTGGATAGGCCATGGAAGTGACTGAGGGGTAGGACTGCTGCACTGATATCACATTAAGCAGCCTTAAGTGATCTTTGGTCATTAACAGACCCTAAAGCTGACCTTATATAATTCCTACAGCTTAACAGTGTGTGTATTAAGTATATAAGGATGTACGTAAGGTATATTGTATTTATACTTGATATGTTAGATTTGCTGTGCTCACTAAAAAGGAGGCCTGCCTCTGTCTCTGCAGTTACAGCTAAGCTTATTTTTTAGGATGAACCCAAGTTTTGGGGCTCAAATATTTTTACCCCGAAGGTGTGGGAGGACATTTTTATTTTCTCTCTTTCTTTGCAATCTGAAATGTCTCTAGTTTCCACTGTAACTGTTTCTAGGTAATCCACAAGGAGTAATCTAAATAGCTCATGTAGAAGAGTCAGATTGGATATCATAAAAAGAGGGGTAAAGGAAGTAAATATATTAAATGTTTACATTTTATGAAATAAGAAATGGGCAATGTCATAGGTTATACGCAGAAAAGTGCATTTGGTAGCAGATTATTTATATTTGAAAGTTGTTTTTGTTGGATACTTTTTATTTTTTGTATCAAAAAACTTTAAATAAAGGATGTATAAAAAAAACCTGTGTGTTAGCAGTTAGCAAATATGTCTGTGGCTGTGAAGAGTGAGTCTAACAATGACATTATGACATGGAGTGATAGCACAAAAGCCCCCAAATCACTGTGATTATGACTGTTTCGTAGAATAGTCTTTGGCAACGCACTGGGATCAGTGAAACCACATATGTCATAAATATAAAATGTTTCCTGCTTTCCTGGTGTCTATCCGAAACAATCAAATGTAATAACTCAGCAAAACAAAAAGTCCAAGCACACGTTGACAAGTTAAATGTCTTAAAGGAGATGTATTTTAGCTATTTTTGAATGGTAAAAGCCGCTGGGAAGCTAGATGTCTTGTGCACCCTGATGGACAGTGCTGGAGGGAGGGGGGAACTGAGCAAGGCATTTACATAATTTCCCTAAGCTCCTGCAGAAAGAACATTGTCCTTTCAGTTCAAAGAGCTGAGGGCACAGCAAGCTGTGGCAATTCACTGATAAAGTTATCAACATTGCCAACGTCTAACCAGCAAGAGTGACAATGGTGCCAAGTTGTTTGCACCCTATAAAAGGGGGTTATTCACTATGGAGCCAAAGGATACAACCTTAGCTTCTGCTGACCCTTCAGCTCTCTTCGGCCATCACTGCCCAACGGTTCAGTCAAACTGAAGGGCTGCTGTATGGGCTATTCACAATAGCCAGTGCAGCAGCCAAAGGCAGCCAAGCGGCTCAGCTAAGCCGAAGGCCTATGCTTCAGCTCGAATGAACCAAAGTGACAGCCGAAGCGTGGAGAAAGGTTGGCCGAAGCCGACCAATCTCCACTCAAATGACAGCTGGGCGGAGCCAGCTGTGATCTCAGTTGTAATAACAGATTAGCGTCCCCAAATGACCTGCCCAGCGTCACCAAATGACCAAGTGAAATGCCGCTCGGCGGCATTCGACTATTCACTTACTGCCGTTTGGCCCCTATGAAAATAGGGGCGAACGACAGTGAGTGAGCTGCTGGGGCTTCGGCTCAGCCAATCGAGACGTTTGAACGGCTGAGTCGAACTCCTTCTGCACTTCGGCTCAGCCGAACATGCAGAGCATGTTCAGCTGACCAAAGGCAGCCGAAGGCAGAGATGTACGGCTGATTTCAGCTGATGTACAGCTGAAATCAGCCGTACATGGCTGCAGTGAATAGCCAAACAGCGTTCAGCTCACTTCACTTTGGCTTGGTTATTCAGGAGCCAAATGCCGCTCGGTGGCATTCGGCTATTCACTTACTCTCCTTCGGCCCCTATGAGAATAGGGGCAAACGGCACAGAGTGAGCTGCTGGAGCTTCAGCTCATCTGATCCAGATGTTGGATCGGCTGAGTCTAACTCCTTCTGCACTTCGGCTCAGCTGAACATATTCACTCTGGCTCGTATTGAGCCAGAGTGAACAGCCACTGCGGCTGTTATTAAGCTCACTTCACTGCGGCTCAGTTATTAACTCGGCTGCCTTCGGCAGCTAAGTGAATAACCCTGAAAGAAAGCAGAAAGCAGTAAATGACAATCTGCTGCGTGTTATCAAACATTTGGATTCATTCGGATTCGTTATTTCTGTCACTCGGAAATTCAGATGCATCCAAATGTCTGAATTTACAGAAATTCATACAAATTTCAATTTGGAATGAAACGAATCGCACATGTCCAGGGAGGTTCAAATCCCGGCCAGATCACTATCTGCAAGGAGTTTGCATATTCTTCCTGTGGTTGCATGGGTTTCCTCCGGGTACTGCGGTTTCCTCCCACAATCCAAAGACATGCTGGTAGGTTAAGTGGCTTCTGTCTAAATTGGCCTTGTATATACTGTATGCATGTGAGAGAGGGACCTTAGATTGAAAGCTCCTTGAGGGCAGGGACTGATGTGAATGTGCGCTGCGTAAATTAACAGCGCTATATAAATACCTGTAATAAATAAATAAATATTGGACATGCATGCAATTCTTCTATTTCAAGAAGCCAAAAATTAAGATTTTGGTTGTTACATGGCTTGTGTATACCTGGTTTTAATAAATATTTGACAGGCAGAAATATGGCACCTTATTGTCCTCAGTACCTGTTAATAAACTGCTTTAATTACATTTTACTAACTATTGTTGGCTTAGTGGGGATGGTAATTGTGCTTTTATTGTTTTAAACACATTATTGATTTAGTGTATAATGTAAATGCAAACAAAAGTTCAATGAAAATGGATTAGACAGAAGTATTATAATTGCTTATAATAACAGTAAAGAAATCTCTATGACCCAATTAGTTTATATGTGAAGCTGAAAACAGGGTAAGATCTGTATATTAATAACACATTTTCTTGCAGGGATCAAAATTGGAGCGAGTTGTGTTGCAGCTGTTATCACCGTTATTGTCTTAGTAGTTATCTACAAGATATGTCAGAAAAAGCCCCCAGGTAAGAATAATCTTCACAGAAGAATTTTTGCATTTTGGTGTATAATAATATAGCATGTTTTTAAAAAATGTTTCGCTTATGCTATGTAAATATCTGCCTCATTTCCCACCCTCGGCTTATATTCGGGTCGATACTTTTTCCCAGTTTTTTTTGCTAAAATTAGGTACCTCGGCTTATATTCGGGACGGCTTATACTCGAGTATATACGGTAGGTGTTATCCCAATTCAGCTGCAAAAGGGAAAAATTTAAAGCTGAACTCTAGGACAAGCTATTATTATCTGAATACAAGAGGCATGTGTATTCATACTTGTACCTTGATGTGCTTTGTGTATTTCTTCCAGTTATGTGCTTTAATCCAGTGTGACACTTTGCCCATGTAGGAGCTTCCTATATTAAAGACCAATCACTGCTGTTCACTCTGCTCACTGGGCAGGGTGACGGATCTTGTATTTTCCCCCTCTCCTGGTGTTTTCTGCAGGCAGCCTGTAGTGGGTGGGACCTGCTGGGTCCCTTCCACAGCTCTGCTTTCTGCACAGGCTATGTATGGCACACTGCTGCTTTTACTGGTAATTAATTGCAAATGCAAAAGCATTTTGTGCACGCAAGGTAGATTTATATTCTTTGTGGCTATTGAGAAATATATTTTGAATAAAAGTTTTTGTGCCTGAAGTTCAACTTATCCTCCACTCTTCCTAAAACCAAAAAAACCTAGAAAGAAATAAACAACAGAGAAATGGTAAGAGTGAAGATAATTAAAGTGCTAGAGTTTACGTGGCTCTAAGATACAGCATAATTCAAGAAAATCATCATTCCTGCATCATCCCTCTAAGTCATTACTGGCAGGTCTGAATCACCCACACATACTGTATATGAAACCTTTAGTAGTCTGTTACCCTTCCAATGTGAATGAGTAGTGCGGTTTCCTATCAGCCACTAGATGGTGATGTGCATATAGCAAACACATGATCAACAGGTATAAAAAAGACCTTGTATCAGTGATGCAGAGGATGCCAAAGTTTGCATAATTTCCATTTACATTCCTGCTTTCTCTAAGGACTGGATGAGTCATATACTGACAACTAGAAATAAAGGGATAGGGGGGTTTACCTGGGAAACTCATTTGCTAATTCAGGATTTAAGCAGATTTCAGCAGGTAAAAAATATATTAGTAAAACGTGGGGAATTAACAAAGCTTCTGGCACCATTACGGCTCAGGAAATTGGTGCAAGTGGCGTGCACCAATCTGTGCCACCTGCACAAGCTTCTATTTTCAGAACCTAATTTACAAAGGTATCGCTACAGTTTTCAATATGGAAAACTGCTGCAAATGCCCACCACATTGGACCTGGCGTACCGGATGTGAACTATCTGCAGGTAAACTGACAGACAGCCAGCTCTGAGGAAGAGGAAACTCCCCGAAAACACGTTCAGCTGTGTCAGCTTGTTTCTGCTGGACTAGCAGCATATTTGGATTGTTTTCTCTGACTGCTAGGAATCTGCATGTATCCTGAGATTTATGTCCAACACGCTTTTTATCCACCTCTTTTGTGAGTACCATTTATCACTTTTAATCTTTCTAAACAAATAAAATGATTATTTGCACCAGGAAAGGCGCCCGGTGTTTCTTTTTTATGAACCTGACAGACAGTTCACATGCCTCTCCCTGCCCGTGCAGCGAACACACTACATGGGCAGAGCCTGCAAAATGACGCACTCAAAAATTAGATTGAAATTGATGGACCTGTGTCTGTTTTTTAACATTATCAACGATATATATATGCCTGGCTGATAGACCCAACAATCATGGGGTCAACAGCCTTCCTCCTGCCACTGGGCAAAGAGAGGCAGAGAAGGAAGCTTCAGCTCTCCTGGTGCAGCCACCACATAAATAATTGAGCAAACCACTCCTAATTAACAAAGGGGCTTGTGAGCCCTTTGTTAATTAGGAGCAGGATCTGTTTCATTTTCTCAGTTTAGAAGCATAGCGCCGTACTTATTGCAGCGCCACTCTTTGTTAATGACCCCCAATATATTTACATATGTTTACAGTACAATCATGCAAATATATATTGCATTTTTGGCTAAAATTAAAAGTGTTTAATGATGAGGACAGTGTTGAATGTGTATGGACTAGTTTTGCTTGTATCTTACCTTTAAATTTAACACAGTTTCAAATGTATAGTAAGATTTTAAGTAATTATAGGCAATTGCTTTTCTTTTAGCTGTGGAGAACACTGGAGTAAAAATGTAAGTAACCTTCAATTTCTTTATTAAAAGGTATCATTATCTGAAGACCAGAACTGAATGTCTTTCTAAACTGTATGTTTTGTTCTATTAATGAATTGAAGGACCGTTTGGAAATGTCAGTTGCCCTTCCAATGCTTGCACAACATCCAACACACTGAAGTCTAAATAAGATGTATCATGCTTTCATTTTGAAATGGGACTTCTAGAATTTAAAAAAACACAGTGAATAAAGGCATTAATGGCAGTATCATTGCTGTAATAATTTCATTCTGTTCTCGGTTTAAAAATGGTGATGATATCAATATTAATAATTGAAGACGTAATTGTCTATTGATATTACAGGAGAAAGAAATATAGCAAGTATCAGCAGTAAAAGTTATACAACCACACTGTAATAAAAATGCAGTAAGAATTACAATCTTCAATAAAATACTGCCTTTTCTACAGTACATGATTTGCAAAACATTTCAAAGCTGCAGAAATAGATTCTTTAATATCGATACTCAGCTGTAAGAGTTTGTCTAGTTTTCTTGTCTGTGATATTATTATTCATAACAGATGCATTATTAGTTTACAGCTGTTTACATTAAGGTAAACCACGAAGATTAATATTTCAATTATGGGTGGACTGGTTGACTGAAACACCCACTGGCATTTTATAAATTCTAGTAACTGATTTTTTTTAATTTCCTTAGCACATTTATAGCTTTTCCTCCCAACTGCCATACTTTTTAGTGCATTGCAGCAGGAATATTTCCTCTACTGTGACTGCATTCTATTCAAAGAGCAGATTCAAGTGGAAGTCAGCATACTTTAAAGAGTCAGGAAAGGACATTTGTAAAAATCTATATTTCTACTCTTTCAGTGGGGCTGTTAGTAACTTTACAAGTCTGCAGAATGTCAAAATATAGAGCAACAGTATAATTTAAACAAATAATAATAATTTTGTCAATAAAAAGCTCTTTGAGCTCCGGGCAAGTTAACGTTGCCTAGGTTGAACTGCTTTCACCAGTCTGCTGCAGACAAGAGTGAGCATTTCCTTAATCTCTTCTCCCCCAATGATCAGAAGTTGCAAAGTGAGTGGCTGTAGATAACTGTTCTCTTATACTTAGATATTACCGCCTGCAAGTAACATAAAAAACATATAGTGATTAAGTTGTTGTAATGCATCATTACCTCTCATTTAGGTGTGTGCTGTTATTCACTTGTATTCCCTGTTATAGTAGTGTCAGGCCCGCATGGAGGCTGACCTATTTTCTGCTGGAGCTCAGAGCTACTGGGGTTGATTTACTAACCTTATAAACACACCACAAACATGTATACATCTCTGTAGTGTGTTCCCTCCCAGCATGATCTATGGGTGGAATCTAAACACCTTTGTGGTGCGTACACACCCAGCAGGTGTGTTGTGCAAAGCCAACCATGAATTGCAAGGTGATGTTGTGTAAATTAGCTCTATGTTGTGTTGCTTGCGTTGATGAATGCAGGAATGTAAATGCATGAGCTAACCATTTTTGTCTAAACTGTGAAGCAGCATTATATATGCATCATGTGCATGATTTTTCCATATATGGCATTAGTGGAAATATGCTTTTAGAGACTTTTTGGTTGATAAATACGTTTTGCTGTGTGAAAATCACATGCACCTGGTGCGTGCGTGTGTTTAGGTTAGTAAATCACCCCCACTGACTCACACTCTGTTCAAGCTGCTTAGTGGAGGGTAAATTACCATTTTGAGTATCTGGTATTGGCACTGAGGGAGATTCGGATTTTGACAGATGCCTATTTGTGGCTGGTTCTTCAATGTAAAATAACCATAACACAACAAGCAGTATGTACCAGGTAGAAGTCAGCCCACTTGATTAAATTGGTAGGGTTAGGAGCCCCCCCTTATTTTTAAAAAATCAATCAAGTGCTGCTACAAAATCCCCATCAGCCTGCTGTAATGTGAACAATATGAGTTATAGCATTAAATTAATGGTACATTTTCGTACAGAGACCTCTGTTATCATCTTATAAAAAATAAAGCATCCAAAAAAAAGGATAAC